GATGGATGTATAACATTAAAATATGGAACAAAATCAGAGGCAAAATGTTTCATGCAAAGACTTTTATTTATGAATAGTCTGCAGTACTGTACAATAGCACACACTTGTCTCTATTTCTGACCATTCTTAATGATCATAGCAAATATAGACAAATACTGTGCCTTCAAAAACAGTTCCCTTTTCACAATAATCTAAAAATACCTTGTTCTGTTTTAAATATGTAGCTTAACTTTTGAAAATAAAATATACATTATATGAAATATAACAGTTGTTTATTGGATAGACTATATTGTACCAAATGCAATTATATGCAAATACACCTTCTCTGTGACGTCTTACGCATTACATGCACAAAAAAAAAAGAGGGAGAAAAAAAAGATGCAGCGCATACAAAAGAAGCTGTACATACCTCTGTATGAAAATAGAAAATATCAAAGCAAGATGTGCATCAATAGTCTAGATTATGTTACAAAGAACTTGCAGTACAAAAAGACCTATGAGAATGACCAGATAGCACATTACCTGGAGCACAGAGGTATGGGTACTGGGTTGGTAACAGGACAAAGACAAAACCTTGTGTTGAGGTTCCACTGATGAACTCATGTCAGAGCCACTTCCATGCAAGTCTACAACCAGATCCAACAGGTTTAACACCAGATACAGCTGGATCAGAGAGCGACAGGGTCAAACAAGCAAACCAGAAGTTGCAGTTTTAGCTTTGAATTCGGCCATTAAAACCCAGTGAATGTTGATGTCCAATGCATAGCATAAAGTTTAGTTTGGTATGATTTAAATTTCTTGTATTGCTACCCCATAAGTGACGTGAGTGTAAACCAATTGCCAGTTATGCCCACAACTTATAAAGCACTGATATGTCAGCATTAAATTATTGAACATGTTCAGATACTGTGAAAAGTATTCCAACAGCAATGTTCTATACAGCATCATTATCAAGCATTTTCAGCTTAATGTTATTATTATTGCCAAAACAACTTCATATATATTTCTCTTTTCATTAAAGTGAAATGGATTTGTTGATGTCCAGTTTAAATTAGGATTCGTAAACTGACAACACTGGATGTGTTACACAGAGATGAAGTTCTCCACTGAAACAGTGTGTACAAGGCACACTGCGATCAGTATAGCTACATCAATTGTTTCCTGCAAAAAGCACTTCTGAAATCACACATAAACTACGATATGAACAAAAAAAAAACAACTCACAGTTAAATACAGACTTCTGTTAATGCCACAAAATATAAGTCAATTTTCTTTTGAACAGTATGAGGATTAACAAAAGACATTTCGGGTACACACTGTGACTGCTGATGCTGAGTCTGAGCAGGGAGGGTGTGAAATGTGAATCCCTCCAAATGTAATCTCTGAGTATTTGAAGAGATTATCAGGTGCTCGCTGGTAACATAAAGCCAATAATCTCAGAAGTGCAAATCTAACACTTGTACCAAAAGGTAGAGCTTTAAAGCAAATGAGATCAGCTCCTTGAAATAGAGACATACTACTGAAATCATGTCACAAACGCGCTGTGTATGACAACTATATTGCTCTTGAGTGAAACTGTTCAAGGACCACAGTGTTTCTCTTTGCAATCCAGGCTCTCTGAGTACATTCTCTATAACACAAGTATAAGAATAAAGAGTAGGGGTTTTATTATTAGTAATACACCCAAACACTACACTTCCAAAAATCTAGTCTCTTCTTAACACACATAAGAAAATATACATTTCTTCAGCAATTAACTGCCTTAAATTGATTTTTTATATTCTTAATAAAATCTTATAACTCTTTCTTATTTACATTTGGTGTAGATTAATACTGATTGTAATGCAATACTGTTGCCATCTTGTGTTTTTTTTTCTGTTACATTTCTTTTGTTTGTTGAGCAGAAGCACTTTTACATTCATATTTCGACACTGAAGCTCACCAAGGAGCCCGAGTGCAGACGGGAATAATGACATGCATTTTTCCAAAAGCAAAATAAGACAACTTCAAAAGAAGGAAGTCTGCTTGCTTGAGCAAATAAACTTGTTGAGAGGCGGAGAGAATGGAAGGACGAGGATGACGAGGTTGAAAAGGCCTGGAGAACCGGCACCCAGTGGCGCCTTTATTTGGCTGTAAAAATGCTCTCGCAGCACCACGACAGTCAGTTCTGTGAGAAGTCATGTGTAACAATACTGGAGGGGTCACAGCTGACTGAGCCATGAGTTGAAATGAAAGCCTTTGTTGTTGGAAAAAGCTGTTAACTTGAGAAAGACAGATTTCCACAGTGGTGAAGGCAGTGGTCAGGGGTTACACCCTCTCCACTCGACTGGGGTCGTAGGAGTCTGATGAGAAAGGAGAGGAAAGAAAAGATGAGACAACAAAAAAGTAAGAAAGAATTTATGTGCTCTCACTAAAGTGGACCTTAGAGGAATAGCTCTGACATTTTGGGAAATACGCTTGTTGGGTGTTTTTGAAATGTGGAGATGGGGTCAGGACCTACTTAGCCTCGCAACATAAAGACTGGAAGCAAGGGGTAGCAGTAAGCCTGGCTCTCTCCAAAGGTCCAAAATGTGCTTACCAACACCTTTAAAGCTCACTAATTAATACACTATGTCTCATTAGTGTAACCTATTTATATAGAGAGATGTTAACACAGCACTATTTTTTGGTTAACAACTGAGCTGAAAAGAATTATAATACAATGTTCTATGAGGAGACTTTGGCTCCTGCCTTTTATGTGTGAATGGTATTTTGACATGTGTCTTTTATCGCCATTATCTTCTTCAAACACAAAAGAAACCTTGCTGGGCAGCCTTGTGATAAACATAGCGCCTAACTAAACGTGGTTTACCTAAACAGCTCAAGGGATATGACAAAGACTCCAAGATGTTGACCGGACCTTCAAACTCTCCTATTCCAAATCCAAACAAGCATCCACAACCAGCCCACTCCACTGACACTTCACTCTGTAACCAACAGGGCCCAAAGGATCACTGTCAACCTCATGGAGCCTAACACTCCATCTCTAGAGATGTAGTGTCAACATCCCAACAGGTTGGAGGTATTTTGGCGGCACAAGGGGAACCTAATGCTGTGACTCATATGTGAGTGAAGCTTGAGCTAGCCGGTAGTTATCTTATTTTGGAAAGAGACTGGAAACAGCTTGCCTGTGACTTTCTATCACAAAGAAAATCCCAAATTAAACACATCATTTTAATCAAATATCAAAAATGACAATTTGTGGTTTTCATAGGACTTATGTGCACTCCTTGTTGCAGGTTTGATGCTATGCAAAACTACACTTGTCCTGACAGAACACACAGACATGAAATCAATACAGTTTCTCTCCTCTCACTCTTGGAAAGAAAGCCACAAATGCACAAGTATAGCTGTGAACACGAGCTCCTAGTTGCATACTTTCTAATCTGCTTGGAAGATTTTCTTTAATCCATGCACTGCATATTGACACTATTGCCACGCATGCGCTCTACTGCACTTGCAGTGTAGTCGCTGTGTGGACTACATATGCACATCCACTGGGTTTTTGCAGACTCTTATGAACTTGAGAAGAAGACATAATTTATGGAAGTATGACACTGCATGAAACTGTCCAGCTAACAATAATCTTCTATAATGTGCATGCTTCCCTTTGGTGGGAAACGTATCAAATTGTTAATCTCCTAATCCTAAGCACCCACCTGAGACAGAGGGCATTTCTTCATCCTCCATGTTTGCGGGGCCACAGGTCCCAGTACTGAAGCTGAGTGGCAGCGTTATTTCTCTCTTGGGAACACTGCGAGGTTTAGGAAGCAGAGGAGGCTTCTGGAGCTTGGTGCGCTGCCTTGGTTTGGGTATCTTTCCTCTCCCAGCATCTTGCCGCTTCTCAGCTCTACTAACCTCTGCCGTGTGTTTATCATCTTTCACCGTCTCCACAGGCTTGTCTTTGTCATCCTCCACAATTTTCAACTCCACCTCTTCTTCTGGCTCTTCCATTTTTAATTCAGCATCTGCTTCTTTACTCCCTTCATTGTCTGCTTTTAGTGCAATCTCAACATTCATCTCTTCTACCTCCACATTCTCTCTTTGCTCTGCCTCACATACCTCTGCATTCTCTTCTTTTGGTTTACAGTCTTCAGAATCTCCTAACTTGTCGTGTGTTTCATGTGCATTTTCACCTTCATTTGGGTTTTGTTCTTCTGCACTTCCTCCTTCCTCCACCTCCTTCTCCTCTGTCTCTGTTTGTTGCTCAACAACTTCCTCCTTTGTTTCTTCCTGATTTTCAGATTCCTCTGTGTCCTCATCTCTCTCTTTAGAATCAGCTTCTTCTTCAGATTCAGGACCTTTGAGGCTGAGGCGTCTTATTCGAGACACAGAGTCCAGTTCTTTCAGGCGGGCCATTCTGTCTGTGGTGGACCTACCCAGAGAAGAAGCTGATGAAGCTGCAGAAGAGTTTAGCTTATCTTGCAGGGATTCAATTAGTTTGCATGCTCCGCCTCGCCCCTTCTTCTCGCCGCTGCAGATGCTCAGTGCTAGCTTCTCATCTGCGGTGAAAGGCAGAGACAAGGGAAGTTTACTTGGTGGGAACTCGGGCAGGTCTAGTATTGTCTGAGTCTCTGGACCCAGGTTGTCTTCGCCATCACTGTGGTCGTCGCTGTGCTTTTGTTTGTCATGTTTGTCTTGTTCTTCTTGGTCCACACATAATCCTGTCTCCTCGACATCCTCTACATCTGCTCCCTGGACATCCAGGGACTCCTCTTTGACATTCTCACACTCTCCTATCACCTGCTGCATCTCTTCGTTTGGACTTTGTCGTTCCTCACTGATGGTGGCGTCTGCATCATCCTGGTTGTCATCGCACTGTTTGTCAGCCACACCCAAGGCCTCCACTGGAACAGCTATACCCAGGATCCGTGCTGCCCGCTGCTCAATGGACTCGTTTTCAGGAATTCCTTTCGCGCATTTGACTTCATACAGGTTGCTGAGGTCTTCTGTCGGTAAAGCGTTGGCTTTCTCCTGAATCAGTAAGTTTTCTAGGTGCTTGTCTGCTATTGTTGACTCATTCTTATAGGTCAGAGGTTCAGAGATGGCGTATCTTTCATCACCATTATCATCCTCAAACACAAAGGAAACCTCTCTGGACAACCTTGTGATACGTGGCGAACTATCTCTCTGAGGTGATCTGCTGCTTTCACTCCTGGTCCTACAGATACTTAAATTCACCTCACCCCTGAATGGTGGAACACTGTCTGATTTAGCCTTTCTCTCCATGGTCACTTCAGCTTCAAGCTCTTTGTTTGAATTGTGCTCTGGGCTATCACTGTTTTTAACAAGGACTGTTCTGTCCTCCCAGGAGAGCTGCACTGAGTGACTAAGATCCTTATGATCGAGTGGAGATGGGACTGAGAGTGAGCGTTGCATTGGCTCTCCAGGACCTCCAGGAGTTTCTGTGTAGACAGTTAGCCCCACATCCTTCAGTAAGGACTCTTGAGGGACTGGGATGTCCTGTCTATAGAGTCGATTTGACTCACTGTGTGGCGGTACTGAGGACAGAAGACAATTGTCTCTGGGGCCTGGGTGGGAGTGTATGGAAAGCTCATTTGTTGGTGGTACATTGTTGGCCTGTGGCCTGGAGAAAGCACTCCTAACGTCCATGGAATCTAGTTCAGCAGTTGATGCCAAGGACTTTGATCTCACTTTTATATTGTTGGGCTTTTCTATGTGCAGCGGTGGAAGACTGATTGCTTCCCTGCCTGGTTCTGGACCAGCAGTGAAATGTGCTCCTGATTTAAACCAAGCTAGTCTCTTATTCCCTCCATCAAGATCATCAGTACACTGAGCCACATTGGGTCTCTTGCTGATTGTGTCTTCCATCTCCTTATTAATACTCTCCAGTTCACCTATGGCATCACAGGGTCGTCGGTTTACTGGCTTCAAGAGAAACTGACCAAAGACTACTTGCTCTGCACTCTCTGGAGGACTGCAGTTGTTCTTCCTCGGAGAGGATGGCTGCTGGCCTCCCTGATCGTGCCCCTTGGATGGAGAGGATGGGTCTTGTTGTGCCGGCTGCAGTGATGATGGTTGGGTTGGGCTGACGCTGAGACGGGAGAAGGCGCTGTTACTGGAGGGATGAAGGTTTTTCTGGCCTGCCATGGGGTAGCCATAAGAAGAGTTACTGTCTGTCCCCACACCACTATCTGTTGTTGTATCAGAGACAGACTGAATGGGCTCCTGGACCCCAGGAGGGCTCTGGGGTTCTGGACTTTTTACCACTGTCAAAGGTGAGCCAGTCTGAGTTTCCTGATTACGGTACTGGTTTCCAGGCCAGGACCCAGCGTAGCACAACTCTTTGTCTTCACTGGCTTGGAGTGCCCAGGCATCTATTATCTCCTTTCTTAATGGAGCCCTCTTGTAATTCCTCATTGATGATGTACTGCTGGTGTGAAAGTGAGAGTAGTGAGATCTGATAGGCATCTCATTCACAGACTTGCTCCGAATGTTTGGACTCTCTTTGAGGCCTACAGCAAAAGTGTCAGTGGTGGTGACAGTCAGGCTTGGTATTGTCTCATTGTTGTTCTGATCAGCTGCTAAGTCTTTGTTGATGTTGGACGGTGTGTGAACAGGGACAGACACAAGGCAGAAGATGGTCTCGCTCACTCTTCTCTTGGTGTTCCTGTTGTTCTCTGCTCCTGACTCAGGAGCAATTTTCTTTACTTGGGTAATGGTTTCACCAAAGACCTGGTCTGCGCTGGACCCCTGGCGAGAAGAAGATCTTGATAATGGGACCTGGAAGGCTGAAGAGGGTGACGGAGGGGGACGTTGGTTTTTGGGATATCTGATGTTGCAGTTTTGGTCAGGTGCTGGGAAGTTGTCGACAGTCTCTTTGTGCAAATCACTGTGCCACCTATTATTGTCATTGTCGAAGTCGCTAGAAGACGTCGGGTTAGCATCATCGGCCAGTTTGGCAGCGATGAAAGGCCCCAATGGCGGGGGCAAAAAGGCACTGTCGTCGGGTGCAGGCTCCGACACGGTGACGCTGGGAAGCTCATTACGGATGTGGCGGATCTTGTCAGCGTCTGTCAGAGAGTTGCCACCCAGAGCTGAGGAAATATGGCGGATACGGGGATCATCAAAAGGAATATACTGGATCCCTCCACCAGGGTGCTCCTGGGTAGTGTACACAGGGTAAAGCTGCTTCTGACTGGACATGCTCCTCTCTCGCTGGGGATCAGGCCAGGAACCCACTGGGTGTCTGGTGAACCAGTGAGATCCATCTGGAGCCACTTGTATCTGCTGGTACAGATCCCCTCTGTACCTAAGAGCAAAAACAACAAAGTTGCATTAAGCAAACCTGACTTCAAAATGAAAAAGACTGTAGACTGAAAAAATAATTAAAGTTATTTCAGATAAACAATTAATTTACACCCTGTTCCAATGCCTGTTTAACAAGTTCAGAAATACTCATTGTACATGGTGAACTATTAACTGAACTCTCCTCATTGTTATTGTACATCCATAACATAAAACCCATGCAAACAGATGTACCACTGTCTTCCTTGGGCGCATCATTAAAATATATATATAGTAGGTGTCAAATATTTCAGAATTTTCACATACTTTACTAACAATTTATGACAAATTTATTATATATATGTACACATTCAAATAAATGTATTATATATCAGTCATTTTTGTCACTCTGAGATCAATACAAAGAGAACACTACAAGTTCTTCAAGAAGTCCAACTAAATGTTTTATATAAAAAGCTAAAGACTGACTCTTAATTTCAAAACTTGGCTAAAAACGTAAAAGTGAATTACAATTTACTATAGCATGACCGCATGCATCAAGGAGCTTCTTGTGTAAAGTCTTGAATTAACTGATCAAAAAAACAAAACAAACAAACAAACAAACAAACAAAAAAAACAGAATCTACCTGTAGTCGACAGCAATTTCACCATATCCACGTCGCCCGCCTCCCATTATAGGAGCTCTTTTATATGATGGGGGAGGGATGTATCCTGGAGGTCCAGAGTCCTGCGATAAGTAGTCCAGTTGGGGGTCACCTGCTCTTGATATGGGAAGTGGTGTTCTGTCTCTGGCCTGGGAAATGGCTGAGTCTCTGCCAGACAGCACCTCACAGCTTCCCCTGATCTGCTGGTGCATCTCATAAGAGGGAGGTCTGGGGGGTCGGGTGAAGCGGGGCTTTGGTGTCATTGAGAGTTGGTTAGCGCTAGCCGGCCTGCCGTTCTCTGGCCAGCGGGGTGCCCTGTAAAGGTCGTGGTGTGACAGTGGGTGGCCATTGACCCGCCTGTACAGTTCCTGACCGGACGAAGCTATGTCCACAAATTGCAGGCTCTCGGGCTGCAGCATCCTGGGTAGGGACTGGGATTTGGCTTTGGTCCTGGGGTGGACTACCATGCCTTCTGGTGTCCTGGCATGGAGCCTCTGCTGCTCCTGTGCCCAACGCTCACCCTCACTCTGTGACAGCTGGCGGGCAAAGCTGACAGCTGGACGCCACTCATCTGTCCCCAGACTCTGACACTTCCTCTCAGTTGCCATCCTCCACTGATGGAGAGCGGCTTCCCTCTCTCTGGAGCGGGCCTGTGCCTGGGCTTGGACCTGGACCTGGGCCTGAGCCTGCGCCTGTGCCTGGGCTTGGGCTGCCCATCGCTGCCTCTCTTGAGCAGCCCTCTGACGCTCCTCTGCAGACAGCTCTTGGCCTCTTGCTTGTTGAGGCCCTTCTGGTCTACTGTAACCCCCCTGTCCCCCTCCATGGGGGTCTCTGAAGTCAGCATAGTCCAGCAACACTGTGAAGTCCTGGCCTCTCCTTCTCCAGTAGGACACATCCTTGGACTGTGACTGAGGACCTCTGGTGCCATCGCAAAACCTGTGAGGAAACATACAAATAAAAGTGTCATTGAGCTTCAAGTAAAAAGCTTGTTGGGTTCTGTCATCTATGTTGTGAATTGTTTTCAAGAAGGATTGTTTCTCCAGTTATCGCTGATCAACGAGTTTGTTTCCAGGACAACCCTTTAAAATCCTTTGTGTTTTAGTTGATTTCGACATGAGCCAAAGCAATATAGTAAAATGCTTAATAAATCTGACCAAAGTTATGGGCACTTTAAAACATTAAAGTAAGCAAATAATCATAACACTGAAAAATAATTATTCAGGGCCATTAAATGATAACAAATGGGGACCAAGAAAGGGACAAAGGGCAAAAATTATGACAGTCAGTGAATAGATTAAATAAAAACAAAGAAAGCATCTCCCACTAGATGGAGACAGATGACCATGAGTAGCAGTTCAGTGTTTGTAATTGTGATTTTCTATGGGGCATAATGAACACATTACACAATGACAAACTGTGGCCGTTTGTCTCGGATGTCCTCCAAAACAGATCAACATTTCGAGGACGTTCACTGACAACCTTTGAATTGCCGTTCTTTAGAGCTTGATCTGAGAAAATGAGTGGAAGGAAAGCTGCCACTGTGTCTCTGAGAAGATGTGTGCAGACCTGATGGACTACAACAACACGCAGTTGGTCTCTACACGCAGCCTGATCATTTCAAGCTATTTGTGGAGTGACAGACTGACTGACAACGTAAACAAGACGCAAGCACATGTGTACTCCCCTCGAGGCCGAGGCCGCTCAGCGTCCTTGACATTTCCATCCATGATCATCACTGACCAGGGATGTTTGCTGGAGGAGGAGGGGTGGGGGACTAGCTGTGGCAGTCTGCTAAATTTGAGGACATCTCATGTAAGATGAGTTACCATCATTAGTCTAATTGGGTCTAAGTAGCACTGCCTAGTGGGAGTGCCAAGATAGGCCTGTTCCTTATCTAAACTAAAGCTGCCAGGCAAAACGGATTTGGATGAGGGGAAAAAAGAGGGATGAACAAACAACAGACTGAAATCGCAGAACATATGTCTTAGCAATTCCCACATTCCCAATAGAATGCTCTGATAGCACTGGCAGAGCTGCGACATGAAAATGTGGATTACTCGTCTCAAAGAATAAAAATGAAAAATGAAAAAAAAAAGAAAAAAAACACGAACACAACCACTGACATTATTCAAGGTCATCTGACTATTTTGAGATGCTCCGTCACTGACTGTGGCTAAAAGGGATTATGGGGGAAAAAAAGTCCAAATCCAAACAAAATGCAAGGAAAGGGGGAAAAAAATCTGACAAGCCTGCCTAATTGTGTGGACAAGTGAACATCTGTATTGACTTTGTCTCAGTTACAGCACACTAACCCCCAGAACTGGTGCAAATAGGCAAACTAAACAATCCTGTTTTCAGGAAAAAACAGCCTAGCTGTTTCCGGGCGATATCTCTGGAAATATCATACGTTCTAGCAGTCCTTACCCGAGAGGGTTTCAATTGCATAACTCCAGACGATGCTAAATATAGCCTATCCTCCATATACATATTTAAATAAACCCTATATGAATCCTGTATTATTGATGGGGTATGCATTATGTAAGCAGGTATAATGATTGTGAAACAATGGAGGCCAGTTAGGCATATTGGTTATGCATGAGGGTAGAATGGGGAAGGGGGTATCCTGACAAGCCTGGCAACCTGTGTGTTCAAGATTGGGCATGCTCAAATGGGGCACATAGGTTTGCCCAAAAGCTGTTTTGATTACAACTCCAAGGTCCCGTGTGGGAGATTAAGACTCCAGCACACATTATCCCTTCTCCCCTGGCCAAACTTGATTGGTAAGAGGAGGAGAGAGGGAAATACAGAAGCAATGAGAGGAAGTTGCACACAAGGGGAAAAACAGAAGCAACAAAGAAATGGCGGGAGGGACTGAGCAGCAGTTCCATTTAAGATGTGATGCAAAAGTCCTTGATGAGTTATTTCAGTTCATTTATCTGCTCCATCAGAGCACCATGAGAACAAACGATTCCACCAATAAAGGGAAAGTATAACCAAAATCAAGATAGGGCATGCAAAAGGGCCAGACAAGAGCTTATCGCTGGTCTTAATCATGTCTTACCCACTGTCTGAGGTCAGAGACTCTCCCAAGGAGTGGGTGTCTGTTTGGCTCCGGATCTCCCCCTCCCGTCTTGGCTGGCTCCGGTCCCTGGGTTCGTTGTTGTTGTTGGGACAGCTGCCACCATACACCTGGGGCTGCCTAGTTCCGCCACCGTTCCCAAAGGGCACCACAGGGCCTCTTTCATAGCCATTCACTGTCCTGGGGCCGGGCCTGTTCTCCAGTATTTCATGGTGTTTGCTGTAGGATGGCGGTGAGGATGAGGGAGGCTGGCGGGACGAGGATGCAGGGGCTGGCGTTGGAGTGGAGGAGGTGGTGTGCTTGGGCAGCTTATATCCATGAGAGATGAGGAGGTCCTCCACGCTGTACATGGTCGCATTTGTTTATGCTGGTGTGTTTTCTTTTTTCTCTCTCTGCTGTTTTTTTTTTTTGAAGGGGGGGAAGGTAGGTCGGTTGTCAAGGCGTCTCTGCTTCTTCCCTACGTGCAGCGGCAGGATCACCGGCACAGCTGCGCAGCTGAGGCCATCACTGGGAAAAAAGAGAAAGAGGGGGACGACATGAAGAGACAAGAAGACAGAAAGAGAAAAGAAGATGAAGATAAAACCATTATCGCTGCCACCCGTGTCCAGTTTTTGTCAATGGTTCCAACCTTTGTGGACACTTGAGAGCACAAAACAAAAAAGAACCCACATTCTGAGCCGCCTCGACAAAACCGAGATCTCCCGCCTTCCCAGCAGCCATTCCCTCCCTCCGCTCTTCTCCAGTCCTCCTAGCAACAATCCTCTTTCCATTTCACTCGGACATCACCAGCACCAAAACGGTCCACGTTCCAGGACTGCGGAGGACCAGGAGGTAAACAAACACCCTAAAAACAGCCCGCAATAGCATGATCATCAGTGGCGACAGGAGTTTCAGAGGGCTGCTGGTGCTGCAGTGAAAACACAAAATGTCACTGTTTACAGTGGGCTCCCTGCAGACTTCCATACAGTGGCTGTCAGGTGGCTGTTAGCAGCCTTCCACTGCTCATGTTTTGCATCAGTGAGGCAACTGGGGGATTGTATTCATCTCTGCTCACTTCATCTCAACAGTATTTTCTGGTTATAGTCCGAAAAGACAAGGAACATTCTTCAGATGTATGCACTAAATAAATCTCTAGGTTGGATTAGGGCTTGGATTTTCCAAAACTCCTTATAAAATTCCTTCAATGTCAAATCCATACAAAAAGCATAAAATAGCAGAACTGACTGATTCTAATGTGATTTGTCAATTTATAAACTGACACAAAAAGCAATCGAGAATCCATTAGTGATTTATATTTTTAAAACAATATTCGCGTTATGGTGGTTTTTTTATGCTGGAAAACACATCATGACCAAAACAAGCAAAAACAACCAATCGTGTTACTATATGGGGGTTTCTGTACCATTCTTCTTCAGAATTGGTTTTTGGCTCAAACATGTATGGCTGATTTACAACAATATTACAACCAGCTATTGTATCGTGTTGAGTAGTTTTTCAATGTTTGAACAGGGTTGTGGATGAGCTGGTGTGCTGAAGCTGCAGGGAGCAGGAAGTGGAGGGTTTACAGAGGAGGGGACTACATAGAGATGTGTATCCTAGAACAGTAATAATGGTGTACACTTATTTCTACACCATTTTAAGGCAGAAAGGCATTATTAACGTGGAGAAAAAAAAAAAGTAAAATATGTAACACAGAGGAGATTCTACGGGTTACATCAACAACCAGAGAGTGATCCCAATAAATGGATTGGAAAATTATTCAATCATGAAAATGTTTATTCGGGCCACATCTGTGTTAATTACCTTATTTTGAAGTGTTTAAACGAGAGGCTGTGTATAAAAGATGGACGTAGCAACTGTGATGTTGTTTAGTGGACAACCGTTCTCAACCTTTAAGTTTGGAATTCGGTCATCACCATTTTGGTCTTTTAAAACTAGACGTAATGATCAGGGTTTGACTGAAGAATTCAAAGACACTGTGGACAGTTACAAGGTAGCAAACTGTCAATCAAGGTAGCCCCGCCCTACAACATGCACTGCTTTGTTGTGTATTTTATTCTAACTGGGACACCATTTATAAAAAATGAACGCCATGCTGTTCTCAAAAGTCTTGAAACTAGCAACCGAAACCATAAACTCTGATGTCAAACGTTTCCTGAGGTAACAGATCAAAAGAGAAGTTTGGTTGCGTTCTTCAAGACTTCTATGCAATTGGGAGTCGCCCCCTGCTGGCTGTTAGAAAGAATGTAGGTTTAAGGCGCTTCCTCGTTGGCTTCAGCTGTCAGACCAAGAGGCTACATCCATCTGTTATATACAGTGTATGGTGTAAAAACCAAGCTTGAAGATAGAAGCGCTATTCAAGACACAACAAAAGGGACTAAAACATTTTATATTTCTACCTGGAAAACATTTCAACTCCACAGCGGTGAGACCAAAGCAAACACGCTTGGACTCTATGGATCACAGACACTTGAGAGAATTTTGCAATACCACAAGTCTCCTTCTGCCCAAAAATGTCTACGAGTATTAGTATGAGGGACTGATGAGAAATTGAATTGATGATACCCAGTGTGCATCTGCTCATGATGTAATGCCCTTGATGAAGTCATGCTTGCTGCCTTGTCAACAGGACAGATGCTGCTGCAGCCCACTCATTCAATAGTCTCTACTGGAACAGACTGCCAACAACCTGGCTGTCCTTAATAAGAAATGGCATACAGGAACAGCGCCGTGAGACTCGTTGCCAGAATCAAACGCTGTTCAGACGGTTTAAAAGCCAATCACACTATGATTGTTAAATGGCAGAGCCAAATTGCTTGTTTTTGCTTCTGAAAAACAGACGGCCCATGCAGCCTCGCCTCAATGTATTCAGCTGCAAACAGATTAGCATTTGTTTTGCTTCTTAGCATTTGTTTAGCCACCATAGTCCCATAGAGATGAAAAAAATCCATCTATAAAAGGAGTCCTGACTCAGAGGGCAGCATCACTACCGCTCTCCCTCCTCCCTTCCCTCCTCTTGTACCTGAACCCTAGGATAGCCTACTAGGTGATTAACAGGATCCAAGACCGTGAAATGCCACTCTCTTTGTATGTCTGGCTCTCTAATGCGATTATCTTTTTCATTTAAGACCCTAAACCTGTTAGTTTTGGAGGATTGACTCTTGGCGCTTACCCAGTTAATACTTTTGTTGAGTTTAACTCTTTCCATTTGTGTTTTGAGTAATCTCTTCAAGAAGAAGCTGGTTCTGAGTTTGCTTCTCGTGAGCAATGTCAGTACAATGAGAATGGATTTTGGTTTGCTTCATTTGCTTCCCGATGAGCATGCAGACCGAGGAAATAGACAATTTTTCATTGACTGTTATACCATGAACTTAAATTGAACTTGTACTGGGCAACAGGCCAGTTAAGATGTTCAATGAATCACACTGTGTCTCAGAGAGATTCAGAAAATGGCAAAAAAAAAAAAAAAAGAAGAAGCAATCTAAGATGGTCATAAGTGTCTTGGCAGATTAGCTTCCTAAACTCACATAATAAACATGGATTCTTCTCTAAACTTTTTCTCCAGTTTCCGTGGTTGCTTTGATATACTATTAACTGGATGACTGAGAATCTTCACTGACTTCTTTTCCTCTGTACTTTAAAATTAAGACTCACCACCAGGTCTCCCTACAGCCTCAGAGAAGCACATCTCAAACTCTGAGATCACAATCTGATTGGTATCAGTCCCCTTTCCTTCCTGTAGATGAGACATATCCCTCCAACCAGGCAAAGACTTAATTAAGTGAGCCTGAGGTCAAGGGCTCCGTTCATTAATATGATAATTCACTTTTGTTATGATGTTTGCATATTAACCTGTCTTAACTCAACATGCATATGCTCTCTAATCTAGCTAAGTCCTTAATTTGAGACAATTGCTCCTGGTGTCATCACTAAATGAGGATTATCTCCATCATCGGTAAAAGTGAGGATTTCCTCCTGTAAAATGACCTGCTCTTATCCTGCCCCCCCTCCCCAACCTCCCACCCCCGCTCCTTCCTTCCCATGACGAGCTCTGTTTAAATACCGCTAATGCTGTTACGCAATGGAATTACCCATTTTATATCAAATAAAACCTCGGATTCAAGCAACGGTACGCAACAATGGCCGGCTTTCATCCCCCAAAACACAACAACATTGTGTTTCACTACAATGCCTTCTTGTGTGAAAAAAGACGTTGGCATTGCAGGCTCTTGGATTTGGCAAGTGGAAAAAAAAGGGCTGATCTGCTGTATTTTTAATGACATGGCTCACTCAAAGAGAGAAATTCATGATATAGTTTATGAATACCATATGCTGCTAAGTAAGCTAAAAATAAACAGAACCACATGAAGGCCGGCCCCCTCCCACCACACTTTCTCTAATCAGCCACTGTACACTGCCATTGTCACATCCTTTGTGGAACATATAAGACTGGTGATTTTGAGGTCAACTGAACTTTTGTCAAGGCCGCGGTTCGTTTAAAATAAAAACAGATAACAGCATTTTTTAGCTGTGTGAGGTGGAGAGGGGGGTCTGTGCCCTTACTGGTGGCTACACCAGCGGCAGGCTGCAGGGGCATGACGGCTTGCAGGTTGACAGTTTGGTGTCAGCTCCTTATTCATGGCCCAGCTGAGATGAGGGCATGGTGAGGAGGTGGGGAGGAAGCGAAGCAGAGGGACAGCATGGGTGGCAGACAATGCAGGACAGAGACTTAAATCAGGCCTCGGGGAGGACAGAACTGCAGCGTTAGAGGGTGTTAGTAAACAGCCGAGCCCAATGCATGGATTACAGGCCTAACATGGTAAAGGTTAGCTGAATAATTCAGTCCACATAAATAAACTTTACAGACAGTAAGCAGTCGGGAAAGTCTGCAGAAATATATACTGTATAACAAGTAAGAAGCAGAAAAACAAAGGGTGCACTGTGCCCAAAATACACTGAGTGATTAAAGTTGTCCTGATGAAGACGCAGATGTGTTAAAAGAGTACATCCTCGCTCAAAGTGAAGCTCTACAGACAAAAACAAATCTGGATTTAACAGGCTCCAGCATAAAGGCACCACAACAAAAGAAATCTCAAACACCAGAGCCTGGAACCAAAAAGACGATAAGCCTGCTTCCTAAAATATTCCACAAGAGCCGCACCTCTCCAGCACATTGTTCCCAGTCTCCTTGGATCTGTAACAACTGACCCGAGTGGGTGTGTACTTGGCAAGTCTCTGGGCTGCATCTGTTAGGACTGTGCACGCACAGGGGTTTCTCAGGGATGACAGCCCATCACATTCAGCAAACAGCAACGCTCCGCAGATTGTTTATCTATGTGACATCACTGTGTCCAGCGGAGGGGCCGTCTCTCTTCCTGAGGAAGTGCGTCGTCGTGGGGACGGAGGAGAACCGACGGTGTCGCAAATGTTTCCAATCAGGCGCTCTGCGGGCTCCTGTTTGTCCCGGGGAAAGAGGTTGAAGGCATGTTTTTGGCTGAGGCCCGAGGAATAAACAGCCTGAACAACCTCAAGCCATATTTTACCTACAGTGACCCTCTGTGCGCTCCACTTCAGGTAGGACCGTAACTCAGCAACATGAAGTGTGGGCATATTATCTGGGGAGCTATGTGCCCTCTGGACACTGGCCATCCATCAGGAAAATCCCACTGGGCTCAGCAGCCACTGTAGTTTAGGGCAATTATGACCTACTGCAACAATGAAAAATTAAGGCGGTAAACGAACGTCTTCTCAAAAACAAAAACATTTCACTGTGCCTTACAAAACAGAGCTCAGCACCACGTTGCAACCCATGTGCTCGCTCTAGCAAACACACCCTCGTGGTAGCAACAGGCAGGGCCCGTGCATTGTGAGTCAATTAGCTCATGCGGAAAGGTTTAGCCAAAAAAACACCCCCTTACATTACTTTGTTGAGCACATCCCATGGCAACAGTTGTTTTGCTTTTGTGAATGGCAGCTCACAGACAATAGCATGTGGGCTGCTAAGATATTCCCGCTGCATTGCTTCAGTCCAAAACTTATTACAGTCAGACTCCACTGGCAGAAAAATCAAAGGCAGGATGGGATGGAGAAAGGGGGAGGGAGGTTGGAGGGGGGAAAAGGGGTGGGGGTGTTTTTATTCCTCCATATTCCAACACATCACAGTCTGCAACACCACGGTCTGGTTCTGATTCATTTCAGATTGTCAAGAAGTAGTCCAGCCAAACATTTGTCCCGCGAGTTTAATGCAGCGTCAGTGCTTCAATCCAAAGAAAATTTCCAGCAACTGGCTCTCGCACAAGAACAGTATAGCTGATAGCTCATTAATGCACAAGGCAACCAGTAAGACACTGACAATGAGATGGTAATTATGTCAATGGACTCATTTTCCATTGTGTAGCGAGGCTTAGCTTAGTTCAGCTCAAATGTAGCCGTCTGACGTCATGAGATTTTCTTCAGCTGAATGCATCCTATGTAGAGGCAGATTCGGGGCTCATGCCAGTGTTTGAAAATGATCATTTCAAATGAGGGGGGTAAAAAAAAAAAAAAGTCATAAAGGAGAGGTTACTAAGCATGCTAATCCACAAGGCTACACAGTAGGCTTCACCTGCACTGAACTATTCCCAGCCCATGCTGTTTCTGAGCCTGCCAAACTGGCTTCATGGTAATTAGTGTCTGTCAAGGTCCGGGGCTTGCTAGAGATGACAGTGGCATGGTTTATCAGCCAGGAACACAGTGATCAAAGGGTTAGCACGCTCTGGCTTTCTGCTAATCAGATGTGGACTCTGCATGCCTCCTGCTCAGTATTATAGAAGGAAAGGTAGTAAACAATCCAGCAGAACATATTTCACCAACACAGAATCCCACTCATGCCTCATCAAGGAAGTTTAAGCATATCCACAGAGTAATGTTTACAGACAGCGGATAGAATTTTGTTGACAAATGACTGTGATGCTCATTACAGGTGGGATGAAAAGGCTCTCCCACACAGTGCAGCCAGAGCGTTGTCATGATGGACAGCTGATGAATGTGGAAAACTACTCTGTAAACACATGAAATTCAGCGGTCAGGGTTATCTCAAGGGCTTCATCACTGCATTGGCATAAAACTGACACACAGAAATCACAAAGCAGGCGGCTCAAGCCACCTGCCAAACATATGGGCATCCACCAGCTCGCATCCAGCCAGGATTTAACAGCATATACACCCAGCGCGCATTCGAGCTCAATTCATGCCTGAGATTCTCGCTCTCAGAGGCACACTGGCAGATGTCAGTAGCTTTCACACGTTTCTGGCTGGCTTCATCCACCAGCCTCCTTCCTCCTGCCTGCGTCACCTCTGCTCTGACATCACCATGTGACATCAGGCAAGACCTCAGAGGGGATCCCTGTAGCCGGGCAAACATCAGATGACTTTCAATGGCTTTGACTACAGCTACCCAATAGCAGAAAAACTCATTTTCTTGACGCAGCTGTCCTAGAAATGATGAGAGGAGGGAGCTCTCTAGAAAAAGACAATTAATGTGCACACACACACACACAGTTCCTGAAAAGGAAGTGATCCGGGCCCTCACTTATCACTGACTGGTTGTACCACTCCTGAAAGTTGAACTGGTGTGACTCATTTCATAGCCGTGGAGGGCCCCTCCAGTTTTGCTGACCAACCCTTTCCTCCTGCTGCTGGAAGGAATTAATGAGCTGCTTCCCTTCTTAATACGCTCCCCATCCCACCATGCTCCACACCCCCCTCCTCAGGGCTTCTAGCACGGCCTTGTGTTCCCACACCATCCCAATCTCAAGGATGTGTGAAAGACCTACCACGTAACACACACACACACACACACACACACACACACACACACACACACACACACTTTTCCTTACCATTTCCTGCGAAAATGCACATTCACTGGTGCTGGTGTGGGCTTTAATTTAAACTCCTCAGCTCCTGTTGTCTACAAATCCAGCACACTCCGGAGTCTAGAAAATGTCTCTTTGCTGACATTTACTAACAGCTTTGATGTAAGCTCACTGAGCTATGAAAGGTCTTTGCAAGAAGGAACAGATCAGTCCAGGGAAATGTTAATAGCAGTTCCATAAATTCTACAAACAGCGCTACCTAAAACAATCAGACCTGAGGGTAGCCCAAATATGAGCCATCTGATGGGATAAATGTGGCCCAACTACTCTTTTAGGAGCAAAGCTGTAATAACTAGGTAATAACAAAATCTTGAACTTGAACGTGTTCAGGTAAAATACTGGCAATCTGGCCTCTAGAGGTCCCTCAGTGTCAGTAACAATTTATGTGCAAGACCTTCTAAAATTAAAGCCACTGAGCCATTGCAAACACTGGGACATAATTTAAGGTATGAGTAAAGAGCAGAGCAGAGGCGACTGTTTTATACCATCCAGCCTTGTAGGCCATTAAATATAACTACTCGGTAAAAAACGTTTAAGTTCAACGTTCAATACGGGAACATAAATCATATTGTTTACCTGTTTTTGCAAACTGACAGCAGGATAGCTGCTGGCTGCACATTCGTGCAAGGTTATCAGGCAGTGCGTGCAGGAGGCTGCATGGGGGAAGGAGAAGAGAGGTCAAGCAGCAGCCATCATCATGCAAACATGCTGCAGGTGTGACAAAGTGACAACATGCAAACATCAAAGCAGCCTAAACTTGGCAGACCATTTGCCAAGGGCTGTTTGCAGCTCATTTCCATCGCCATTTGGTGCTCGTCAGCACCTGAGCAGAACCCAGAGCTGCACATTACTGGGCTCGAGTGTTGTCATCGTGTCGTTATGAAATGATTGACGGGCTTGGCATGATGCTAGCCCCGCTGGTTCCGATGCAGGTTGCTGTCGTAGCATACTAGCCTAGCCCCGATGCGCGCACTTCACAGATGCGGGCAGAAGCCACGCGACATTCCGTTAAAACATCTGTCTGTTTACGGTTCCGTTAAGTAGCACTCACACGCAGACCTGTTCCAACGAGACTTAGCGGCTTATTCCGATCTGTGGAGGTGTTCGGTTGAATTCGGATGACCCACTATACAGACTGTAATTCAAACAGAGGTCTGTTTTATAACTCCAGCTGCTGCTGTCGCCCATCGCTGTGGATGTTCGACCAGAGAGGAAATTTAAGGCAAAGCAATTCTACAAGTTAAAATTGGATATAAGTCATAGTAGTTTGGAGTGACACAGACTGGCTCCCGAACACCGGCCACGGCTGCAGGGTTTCACTTAAGTCCTCAATTAGTGTTCATCTCAAAATAAATCTATGCGTGTAAGCTAGGACACACAAAACTGCGTAATTTGAACGGAGTTTGGCCTCTTTTCTTCCCAGCGCTCAGACACAGCGCAGCTAGCGCTAGCCTGGCTAGCTCCATCAGCAATCTTTAACCTTCAGCTGATCGGAGCGCGTCCGCGGACAGCGGCGGCGCCACCGCACACGCTTCAAGTTAAAAAAGCACACACCACCGTCCTCCCGCTCCTTCACCTTCTACCGCGGCGTCCTGGAAGTGTCCCGGTGCCTGTCCTGAGCCTCCAGCCCCGGCAGAGCAGCAGGGACAGCCGGGCAGTAACAGCTATCTGGCTCGGCTCGGCTGCAAGTTGACGGACCGCTGGAAATGTTGAAGGCGAGCAGATGCGACTCTGAGCCGCTGTCTGCTCCCTCACAGCAGCCGCTGCCGCTCGCCTCCACAGCAAGAGTCGTGGAAAAAAAACAAAAACACACAAGCCCAACAAACGCCTGAGTGACGGCGGAGTGTCGCTCGACCTGGAGCCACTTTTACCTGTGAAATGCGTCGTTGCGTGGCCGCCTAGTCCCCGGCGCTCATCCCTGCCGCCGCTCTGCTCGGACTGAGCTGGATGTGAGGGAACAGCCCTCTACAGCTCTGATCCAGCCGGGAGGCAGCTGGATCCTGCTCAGCAATAAGGTCACTTCACTCTCAGTATTTCAAGACCTGCTCATCTATCTATCCATCTACCTCTCTGTGCACACCACACAAATTAAAGTCTTACATAATTTGCATTGTGTAATTACTTTGACGTGATTAATTGACACCACAGTGATTAATGTCAGCCTGTGAAGGTTACTTGCAAATAAAAATGAGTGTAAGCTCATCATCACCTCCACATATCTCATCTGTCTGTATGTATGTAACTGTTTAATACAGTAGCCTTTGCTGCATGCACAGGCTATAAATCACAGCTGATGTGATAAGACCTTCCCCAACTCAGCTTTCTCTCCATGAAGGTATGCACAGCTTCTATTATTAGTGGGTTAATTGGCATATCAGTTGAAAATTGGCACCTGTTTTCATACCTGATTGTTATTTATGTATTTTTTCAGCAGGCCAAAAGCCAAAAGTTCAGTGGTCCTAAGCTGTCAAAATTAAGAGTTTCTATAAATAGGAGTTTCTATCTATAATTGAAAATAATCATTACTTGCAACCCTCGGCTCTTGTGCGAAAGTGACGTTTATATCTGATCTGACCTTTTTTGCAGAGTGAGAGTAACTTGATTTGTTTCTGTTGTTATTTTAAAAAGTTATTTACAGCAGTTCATCAAATCTTTTTGTTTTCCCTTCTCCTGGAAGGCTTGCCAAAACCCTCTTTACGCCCATCTGGCTCAGAGCCTTAAGAGCTGAAAGTCCTTTTCCACCTCTTAAAAAGACCGGAGGACCCTAAAACCTGCATAATATTGACACAGATGTTGCCTATAACTGAATCCCCCTGAACATAAAGGAGGCTGGTAATCTTAGTATCTGACCATTGAAACTTGTTTGTGATGCTCGTCCTGACTGTCCACTTTGCCTGATCACAGCTGTTCATATGCTCCCAACAATAACGCTCATGTTTACATAAAGTCAGCTTAACTTTGAATTACCTCCTCGATGGTTATCTGTTCTCCTGTAAAGTCAGCTATTGTTCCAATTGTTGACTTTACATATCCTGTTGCCAGCAGTGTATGGAGAAAAACATCCATAATGACTTAATAGAGTCAAAGCGACAGTTATTTTAGTTCCCTCGTGCACATTTGTTCACCAGAATGAGGCATTCAGATTGCAGAAGGCATGACTTTTGACTGCATGACATGTTAAGACGAGGAAAAAGCAAGAAAAGGGAGTTGGACTTGACAAGAACAACAGAAGTGATATGAGATGTTGTAACTGCCATGTTACAGTAGTTTGGAAAAGGCGTATTATTTCATTTGGCCTGTGACTCACTGGCATCTGCTCAGTCTCACCGAAGGTCAACGCTCGTGCTGCTCCCTGTGTTCGTAGAGTGCACTCCGCCCGTGCTGCGCTGCACCCAACACCCCAACGCTGCGGCCGTGTCTGTTTTCCATTGTGCCGTACATATGCAGCTCATATGCAGCGCACTGAAATGTGGTGCAGAGACGCTGATGTCATCGCTCCATTTGCCAGCTGTGGTTTTGAGGTTGAGCGTTTCTGAGCTTGGTGAGCAGCGTTGCCCACTGTGGGCTGCTGCAGTTGCCGCTCCCCAATTCCCCAGAACTCCGGTCTAACATCTTGACTCTGTAGGTGTGGGGAGGGGGCTTATATGGATCTCTCTCTGCTGCTCCAGTCATCCGGCGGCACCGACCGGCCTGGAAACTCAAACATGAATTCATGAATCTTAAGAGTGTACGGGGCAGTGACGAGGTTTCTTAGAGAGCAGCTGAGTCTGTGCATTCCTCATCTGTAAATGAAACACTGTGGACATATGAAGACTGAACTGAAACATCAGGAACATCTTGATATGGTTGTAGGCCTTGAAAAACCTTCTGTGACTCCTCTGCTCCTGTTTATATCTTCTCCTTTGAACAGATTAAGAATAGTAGTTCTGAGAGATACGCCTATTTGCCTGCGTTCTGAAAGTTAGATGACAAGATTGATGCTGCTCTCATATCTGTTCCATAAATAATAGAGGGGCAACAATGAATCAATCAGTCGTCCACTATGAAATGAATCGCCAACTATTCTGATCAGTTCAATCAGTTAATTAGTTTTCTTTCAGAGAAAAACGATCTCTGACTCCAGACTCCTCAATGTGAATCATTTCTAGTTTCTTTACTCGATGGCGGTGAACTGATTGGGTTGTGGACAGAACAGGACACTTCAGGTCATCATCCTGGACTTCAGGGAAACACTGATCCACCCTGTTCACCTTTTTATATACCAATCAACTAATCGATTAATCAACAAAATAGTTAACAGATGAATCAGATTAATATTTCTGCAAGTAACCAAAAACAAGGGAGGAGACACTTAGCATAGCTTAGCATAAAGCCAACTGCTTACCTGGCCAAGAACTAGTGATGCACACAAGTCTCCATTAACCCCTGACCTGTTGCATTTCTACTTTTTCTTTTTTTGTCCGGACTGAAAAAACAAGTGATGACATGTTACTTAGAGGGACCGAGAGGCTCTAGTAGGGGAATTCTGTTACTGACACACAGAAAAGGGCCAACTGTGTCGACTTTGTTCCCTTTCTCTGTGCTAAGATCAGCTCCTCAGCAGCTGGCCGTGGTAGTACCTGATAGTAAAACATGAGAATACTATCATCCTGTCCCACTTTCCACAAGACAGTGAATAAGAGTGTTCCCAAAGATGCTGATTTATTACATTTGGAAGTAAAATACTTTTTCAGTGTATGCACATTATAAGTTTACTGTCAGATAACAGGGACGTAATCAGGGTTTTGGTAAACGTGATGATTACGTTTATTTGAATATCTCCCAACAGTCCCTGTGTTCTTTAATATTCTTCTCCAGTCTGACATGAAATGAAAGAAACGGTACATTTTTCTTATTTTTTAGGCCCAGCAATAAAAAAAAGAAATCCTTTAAAAATATAAATTCCTTGTTGCTGAAATTGCAATTTACAGCCCCAAAAAGAATCAGAACACACATTCAACCAAATACTGTGCTCAAGTACAATTCTGAGATACTTTAGCGTTACCTGAGCATTTCCATTTTATGCAACACTTCCACGACCATTCTGATGGAAATATAGTACTTTGTACTCCACTGACAGCTTTAGTTAATTTTAATATGAAGATTTTTCACAGTAAATAACAGACTGGAAGACGTGAAATAGGATTATAACTTCTAATGGAGTATTTTTACTTTGCTGTATAGGTACTTTTACTTTAATAAATGATCTGAATACTTCTTCCACATCTGTCCATGACTGTAAAAACACTTTAAATCATTATATCCCATCAGTGTATATGAGCTCTTGTGTAAGTTATCTCTGCTGAGGTAAAGCTCACATCAAAGGCGTCTGTGGAAAGAGGCTTGCTACAGTGGCTTTAAATAGATCAGCAGGTAATGGGCTTTGGAAGGCTGTAATTGCACCAATCCCAATGTAGCAAGTGCAGCCACCTTTTAAAGCTTGGCATGGGCCACACAGATTACCATCGGGGGGCTACGGTGCCACCTGGCAAACACCACGATCTCTGTGATCGCTCTAATTTATGGCCACCGGTCATCCAGGACCTCTGGTCTCTGCATTGTTCTGAGTTCTCTTCTTACAAATAACCAATGATGATTTAGCTTTTCTTCCTGACAACAAAAAAGAAAACTTGCCTTCCAAGTTGAAAACAGCAGGGATTGTGAAACGTTCCCAGACAGATTTTATTTAACATCACCTCGATGGCTCGCTATCAAAGAGCATGCCAGAGAATTTCTGCTGCTTTGAGTCCATCTAGCTGATTGTAAAAGTTGGATGTTTTTTCATACAAAAAGAATGTGCTAAACTTGGCTCAGTTATAATAACTGCACATTTGTGGGCCTCCTGGACCAAAATTGTCCATTTCCCATCAGAATCCATCTGCAGACCTATAATTAGGATTATTTTAGGAACACCAGAGTATCCAGTGGTCACTGCATCCTCTGAATGTATCTGGCAGAGCCACAGAAGCTGCCCTGAACCCAAACAATTGCACCACAGTGTAGCATAAACACAAAACTGATTCAGTGTTACATTCCTTTATCAGTCAGCACGGCTTCCAATGGAATTGTGAATCAACAGCAGGAAAACATTCTCAGCATTCGGGGTATTGTTGGGCCGTGATTATGAACATGTGTTCCATGTTTACTGCTCGGTAACACTGTTGTCTTTTGTCCGTAGCAAAATATCTCCACACTCATTTGAAAACAAAATGTGTTAGTCACCCGTCACATGCTAAGACATGATTACATTTCAAATAGATGCTGACGACCAGTGAGCACACTACATCATATCCCAACACTGGTTATCTAATCTACTCAGTTTCTTCCTCCGGAAAGCTTTTATTTTTCTCGGCTGCGAGCCCACAGAAACTGATCAGCAACTAGCTGAAATGGCAGAGAGAAATTCAGGAGAAAACAATGATCTTCAGGCAACAACAAACACATCCACGCAGTCGCACAGAATCCTCTCGAATAAGATCCAAAGGCCTCTTCCCACGTAACACAGCCGTGATCAAACCAGCTCTACCCCAACAAAGCAAATCCCTAAACAGCTGGGTTTTGACGGAGTAAAGTGCCTACCGTAACTCAGGACAGATGTGAAGAGGGCCTGACTGTATGAGGTCTGAGCCCCCTCCGGCGGTACCGCACCACCCAGAGGCTTCTGCTCAGGAGATCTGAGGGACCAGCCGGGGATTTTCTGTGTTTTGGACTGGCTGCGGATTGTGGTTATTGTTGTAAGGTAAAAGATCTGTGGAGAAGAGGGCACAGAGGCCACTCTCAACACATGAGGATCATGTAAAGCTCCCTCACCTCTGAACCAGTGGTGTGAACAGCTGCCTCGTGTTGATGTTGAGATTCACTTTGATCCACCTTGATCCGGATTCAAGCAGACAACTGCGTTCATATTGCGTAGGAGAGTTGCTTTTGGAAAGTGCCTGCTATTCATCTACCTGTGTTTATTATCTACCTGTGTAAATGGAGTATTCTCCCACAGAGGCCGGATTAACCAGCTGATTGGCCATC